CTTAACCACTTGAGCCACCGCAGTTGTAGAGATCTGCCCAAATACCGGAGTGTCGCTACATTGTTGGCAACATAATGCCATTTCTGTCGCTGCATTGATGGTGATGCGGCTCAGATGCTGGGCTAGGCCTCCCTGCTGCTGGTAAGTCTCCATCTCCCTCCGGTTGCCAAGGTGTACCTAGCAACCCTGGTAGAGATGGGGTGTTCCTGCTTGGCACTGAGCTCCCAGGAAGGATGAAGCCACGTGACTGAGACTATACGGGACGATGCTGTTGGCTCAGGGGATCCGGGCCAGGCATTTGCCCAATCTGCTGGCTTCGGGCGGGCACCCAGGGGTAACGCTTACACGTAAAAGTCTGAGAGGATGGGGAGGAAACAAGCGGTGCTTACCCCAATCGTTCCAAAGCTCTCTGGTTTCTTTCGGATCTTTTTCCCACACACTCGCCTCCACAGCCATGTGATCAGGTACCAGAGAGATTTTGGACTCGGGATCACGTTGAAGGGAGTGGGAAGGGTCCCCCCTTCTTCAAAGTAGCTCATCCACAGCTTTGTTCGAGCGAACTTCCATTCAATGTCCGCGTGGTCCTGAAGACAGGGAGTACGAAAACACCTTAAAAGACAGCACGGTGCGAGGAAGCTTTTAGCTCTGTCCGTCACTGGAATCCCACATGAGGTGAAACACACTGTGAAATCACAGTTTTGGCAACAGCAAAAAAAGGAGCTTGACTCATCTTGCCCAGTGAAGGAGCACTCTGACCCTCTTACCACCATTAAATCTCCCGTAGGCAGCAGAGGGTAATGGCAAATGGAGGGGAGGGCGATTTATGTCTGGCAGGGGATAACTGCTATCCAGCCACTGCTTTTAACAACACCGTGGCTGAACGGAGCATTGATTTTACTCAGACACATCTCTGGAAGCTGAAAGGTTTCAAGTAGAGGGCAAAAGGTTTTATACCACCCTTTCCTTTTCTAGTGACTGGAAAAGCAGGAAGAGATGCAGTTGCAGCCACCAAACCGCTGCCACCAGGCCCGTATCCAGGATTTTGTGGCTTGTGAGGCAGGGGTCATTTCCTGCGGGAGTGCACAGGAGCAGAGCTCCAGCACTAAGGAGCCCAAGGGGTGGACACATGCAACATGTCCCGGCCCCTGTTCCCAGCAGCCCTCAGTCGGGCCACGAGGAGCAAGAAGCAGCCAGGTAAGTGGCAGAGCCCCCCCCCGGCCCGCCTTCAGGTACAAGCTCTCCCTCCTCTGTGAGAGCAGATCTGCATGTGTGTCCCCCATAGCTAGCAATCCAAAACAGTCCAGTGGCACCTTTAAGACCAAGTTTTATTCAGGTACAAGCTCTCCCTCCTCTGCTAGGACAGAGCTCCACGTCCCCCCCCCCCCAATAGCTAGCAATCCAAAACAGTCCAATGGAGCCTGAGCGATGGTGGGTGTTGCCTTCTGACATACGTCTGGTGATGTCAGGGGGTGTGGCATATGCAAATAAATTATTCTAATGAGTTATGCTAATGAGCTCCTGCACCTCTTTTTCTATGAAATGACCCCTGTGTGTGATATATATTTCATTGCCCTGACATGGATGGCCCAGGCGAGCCCGATCTCAGAAGCTAAGCGGGGCCGGGCCCTGCCTAGTACTTGGGTGGGAGTCCTGCAGAGAAATCCGAGGTCGATACGCAGAGGGAGACGATGGCAAACGACTGCTGTTAATCTCTTGCCTGGAAAACCCTAGGGAGGGGGGGGGACATAAGTTGGCTGTGACTTCATGGCAGTTTCCTTCACCACCACATGTATGTCACCATGAGATCCTTGCCAGAAGGGCGGAATACAAATGCAGTAGATAGAGCTCTAACCATTACCAAATCTGGCACTACAATGTCAGTAGAATGTGAAGCAGAAAAGCCAGGCCGGACTCTCCCGGATGGCCTATTTCTGTTCCATCAGGGGGCCCTAGAACAAATGAACTCACAGTAGGTTGTGTCTCTGTCTAGGACTGTGCTATTAACCTGGTAGGTGTATCAGATTTCTTCTTTTCAGAAACAGAAGAGGAGAGAAGAGATTGGATTAGTTTTTTTTTTTAATTTCCCTCTCCTAAAAAGGAGAGAATTTTATTGCTTTTACATTTCAGAAAGTTAGGAAGGGTATATAGAGGGGTAAAGAAAAGTGTTGAGTGATGTTAAACATTAGTATATTAATCTTTTATTAGTAAAGTCAAAGTCAAAATCTTCTGCAGCTGCACCTTTTTCTTCTATATCTTTCAAAACCGGTTAGTTAGTGTGTTAATAGTGTCCCCTTGGGGTTAGTATTATCTTTTATTGCGCTTTCCGAACTAGTTCTCAAACGTTGGGGTGCTTCCCTTTTTTGTCTCTTAAATTGTATTTTGGCCCTCTAGCTGCTCCTTTGTCTTCCTCATCTTTCACCTCTGCCTCCGAGCTGCTGTCTTCTTCGCTAGTTCCTGCCATCCACTTAGCGAGTTCTGCCTCATCCTCTGAGCTGGCGTGCCTCTTCAAAAAGTCTTGAGCCTTGAAGATTCTCTGAATCGCTGCTTGTCTGTCTTTAAACTTAAAGACAAGTCCTTCGGGTATCAACCATTTATAATTAGTTTGGTGACTTTGCAAGAACATGGTCAACCCTTTATATTCCTTTCTCTTCATTCTGATTTCAAATGGAACATCTTTCAAAATTCTGATCGTCTGGTCTCCAATTTTCAAAGGTGTTGATGACGTTGCTTTTAAAATTTGATCTCTGAGACGCTGCTTGGTAAATTTCACAACCACTTCTGCTGGCAGGTTATTCTTCTTTGTAAAGTTGGAGTAGGCTCTATAGGCCAAATCCATCTCATCTTTTATTTTTCCCACTTCACTGCCAGTCAGTGGTGCCAACGCATTCGCCAGAATGTCTCTGAGGTCTTCCTTTTCCACCTTCTTGGCTGTCTCTGTCATCTGCTTCTGTTGAATACTATAGGCACTTTCCATGCTATCCAACTTTTGGTTGATTTTCTGCAATTCATCCAGCAGAGGGTGCAGCATCTCACTTTCTTGCTGATTGACAGCAGCCCCTGCAGGGGAAGGGCTAAGACCGGAAGTTCCTCCCGTCTTCTTTGTCTGCCTCTCCAAGAACTTTTTCGGCCCCGCCATTTTCAGTTTTTGTTTACTTTTTAAAAGTTCGTGCTGCGCAGCATAGGGATCACTCCCTGCTCCGTTTTCAGCTCTCTCCCAAAAGGTAATTTACTTTTTCAAAACTTCACTTCGCCCCCCCTTTCTGCTTTCAAAAAGTCTCTTTCTCGAGTGGGGGGGGGAATCCTCCCTCCTCCCTCTCGCTTTCCTGGGGGACGAAGTGTGCTTTAGCCGGTAGCTTGTAATTCGATCTCCAACTCACAGTTAGCCGCTCGTCTCTTTCTTTGTGCTTTCACTTCCTCGCTTCATCACTCCAATGTTCCGGTGGCGTTGCTAGGTCCCCATTCGGGGCACAGCACAGTGGGGCCATCAGGGCAGAGGGAGAGCCTCAATTTCCGACCTTCTGGCCGGTAAGAGGCTTCTCCCCTAAGCGTCCCCTGGTTCGGAGCCTTTTCCCAAGGCTCATTAGGGTCTCCACTTGTGCGGATCCCCCCCCCCACTCCGCGTGTGGGCGATCCAACTCCGGGAGAGTCCCGAGAGCTGGCCGCCATTCGCGCCGCCGTGGCCGGAAGTCGAGAAGAGATTGGATTTATACCCCAGAGCAGCTTACAAACTCCTTTCCCCTCCCCACAACAGACACCCTGTGAGGTAGGTGGGGCTGAGAGAGCTCTGAAAGAACTGAAGAAGAGATTGGATTTATACCCTGCCCTTCAGACCTGCTTACAATCATCTTCCCTTCCTCTCCCCACAACAAACACCTCGTGAGGTAGATGAGGCAGAGACAGCTCTTTCGAGGACTGCTCTTGCGAGAACAGCTCTGAGAGAAGTGTGGCTTGCCCAAGGTCACCCAGTAGCTGCATGTGAAGGGGTGGGGAATCAGATTCTGGTCAACTCACACAAACTATTTTCAAAACAAGGAAGAAAACAGGGACTGACCGCAATGAGCTGGTAGGAGTTGTTCATCATGGCTATCAGCATGTTGAGGAGAACCACCAGCGAGATGACGTTGTAAGTGCCAAACATGGTGGCCCCGACGAACTCGGTGAACTCGTGCCTGGCTTTCACATTGGTTACGTACAGGTTGATGAGTCCAAAGACAGACCAAAACAGCGACTGGAGGGTTTCAAACAACCTGGAGGTAAAGAAAAGGAGAATTTCAATAATACAGGGTGACGATACCTCCCAGTTGTATTTCCCTAGGACATTCACATGTTCAGGAAAAGATTAAAAAATACTTAAAGGGATTTTTTAAAAAAGTGGTATAGCCACACCCAGACTTATGGGAAAATTTCTCCAGCTGGTGGTTTGCAAGAGTCTTCCTTGTGCTGCGATTTCAGAAGGGGATTGAGAACATAGGAGAGGTCTCCAAGTTAGCTGCATTTGGATACTTTGTTTAATGTTGTAGGTTTAAATGATTTCCCTCAAAGTTGGGAAAGAAGAAGGAAGAAGAAGAAGAGGAGGAGATTGTATTTATACCCTGCCCTTCACTCGGAGTCTCAGAGCGGCTTACCATCACCTTCCCTTCCCATCCCCACAACAGACACCCTGTGAGGTAGGTGGGGCTGAGAGAGCTCTTTCGAGGACTGCTATTTCAAGGACAGCCCTGACAGAACTATGGCTTGCCCAAGGTCATCCAGCAGCTGCAAGTGGAGAAGTGGGGAATCAAACCTGGTTCTCCCAGATTAGAGTCTGTGCACTTAACCACTACACCAAACAGGAAGGGAGGGAGGGAGGGAGGGAGGGAGAGATTGGATTTATACCCCGCCCTTCACTCGGAGTCTCAGAGCAGCTTACAATCTCCTTTCTCTTCCCCTTCCAATAATAATAATAATAATAATAATAATAATAATAATAATAATAATAATAATAATAATAACAACAACAACAACAACAACAACAATAATAATAATATACTTTATTGTCATTGTATATAGTACAACGAAATTAAAGGTGCAATCATTTCAGTGATCTACAGCCATACTCATATATACTCACACAACCATTCACAACCATCCCATCCCATAACTCCCTTAAAGTTCACATTGCAACTTAAACCACCAATGTCACCCAAATTCCAATTTCATTCAGCATTTAAAGCAATAATAGCTCTCGAATAAAAACTGTTTTTTAATCTGTTTGTCCTTGTTTTAATTGTCCTATATCTTCTACCCGAAGGCAGCAGTTCAAACAGGGAGTGTTCAGGGTGTGACAAATCCTGCAGAATGTTCTTTGCTTTTTTCAAGCATCGAGAACTATACAATTCCTCCAGGACACCCTGTGAGGTAGGTGGGGCTGAGAGAGCTCTTTTGAGGTCTGCTCTTGAGAGAACAGCTCTGAGAGAAGTGTGGCTTGCCCAAGGTCACCCAGCTGGCTGCATGTGGAGGAGTGGGGAATCAGACTCAGTTCTCCCAGATTAGAGTCCGCGCTCCTAACCACTACACCAAACAGGCTTTCCATTCCTTAAGCACACATTCTTAGCTCCCTAGCACTCAATGTTACAGGATGGATGAACAAGAACACTACGAAGCATAAAGACAAGGCTGCGCAACACAAAACGGAGCGGTTAACTTACGTCGAAAAGGCATTGTTTTGTTTTTCGCACCGTATCCCTTTGCAATTATTGGCTTCGTTGGTTTCATAGTAGAAATACAGCTGGTTCAGCCCGTTGGCAAAAGCCAGCAGCACGAGACAGTAGATGAACAGAAATTTCAGAATGTCCAGCAGCATCCTTCCCAGCGAAATCTGCAGGGGTCCCAGGTGAGAATTGGCCGTGAACAAGGAGATCAGGCGCAGAGAGCTGAAGATGTTGGCGATGGCAAAGAGGGCCTCGGCCACCAGCGTGGGGTGCCACATGTCCCAGCTCTCTCTGGGCAGCAGCCCGCTGTACTGCAAGGAGGAAAAAGAAAGATCGCTCAGACCAAGAACGTTTCCCTCTGCCTGCACTCTTGCCTCTCAGTACAGCTTTCAGCCAGACCAGCCTCCTCATACAGAGTTGCCAGTTCTGGGTTGGGCAATTCCTGGAAAATTTCGTGGGTGGAGCCTGGGGAGGAAACGCAGCAGGACAGAATGCCATCAAGCCCACCTTCTCCAGGGGAACTGATACCTGGGCTCTGGAGATCAGCCGCAGTTCCCAGAGGTCTCTGGCTGCCAACGGAAGGTTGATTAAACCAAGAAGGGATCACCGCTATCCATACAGGAAATACACTGAACAAGCAGACACCGCGATGTGAATGACTAAAACATTTACTAAATCTTTTCAAGGTAAACATCGTATTCTATTATAAATGAAACTTTACACTATTACAAGGCAAAGTCCATCATTCTCAAGGAAAAACAATCCATATGCAAAAGAACCTCCTCAGGAAAGCTCCTCTATTAGCATGTTTTCACAGCCTGGGAAATTCCTACAATGACTCAGCCCTACCCCACCTTTTTGAGTAGATATAAATTACCTGCCTACCATTTTCTTCTCACTTTGACAAGAGAGCACTCCATCTTTCTGTGTTATACCTCTGAGGATGCCGGTCACAGCTACTGGCGAAACGTCAGGTCCTACAATGCCAAGAGACCACGGCCATACAGCCTGGAAAATCTGCAACAGCTAAAGTCTATCATTCTCAATGAGCACCCAGATATAAGTTCATTTCATTCCAATCTTCCTCAGGAGTAATCCTATTATGTTGAAAGATGTCAGCCTTTTCATACAGCTCAATATTATGTTAGAAACAAACTAGTGTTTAACTTCTTCTTCACCTTGAAAAGATTTACTAAATGTTTAGTCATTCACATCACAGTGTCTGCTTGTTTGGTGTAGTGCCAACCGTAATCCTAAAACCACCTTTCATTTTACTTTATGAATTTATTTGAAATAGCTACACACTCACTTTACGTCCAGGCAACCCAGGGGACAAGTCGGATCTCAGCAGTGTAAAAAAAGACAATACAAAAGGATTTGACAGAACATTCAAACAGCACACTAAAAGCAAAACTAAAAACGACTGATACCCCAAGCAGCAGGGTATCCCTCCCCCTTTGTTCAGGTTGACACTGCTGCCAAAGTGCTTGGGAACAGCTGCTTTGAAGCCTCTCTGAGAAGGGTAGGAGTTAGGGCTCTCTCTTTAGATGCACACCTGTTTGGGGCTCTGGCCAGGAGCGCCAGGTTTCCAGAAGTTCCAAGGAAATGACATGCAAGATCCAGGTTTGCTTCCAAGGAGATTTCAATAAGCAGTGATTCTTACGGAAATAGTGGGATGAGCTTCCATCCGCTGGGTCTTGAAACGCAGCCAGACCTTGAGATGAGGTGCATAACTAAAACTAAACATCTTATACCCTAATTGCTGGCTATGAGTAAAAAATCATTAATTGAGGTATCTCAAACACTAGGATGAAGAAGAAGAAGAGAAGGGACTTCCGGTTGATGGCGGCACGCTCATGGACTCACCTCCCGGGGGTGTCTCCGTGCTCTGGCGGAAGGAGGGGGCGAGCAGGCTCATAACCTCCCCCAGGGGCCCGGCAAAGGGACTCTGGCCAAGGAGCTTTGAGGAGGTAGCCTCTTCGATGGCGGAATGCCAGAGAATCAAGGCTCCCCCTTGCTCCAGTGGTTCTTCCAGCTGAGAGACCGAATGGTACAAGTGAAGCTAACCAGGTCAAGCGCAGGAGATCGGGCGTGAAAAATGATGAAAGAAGTGGGGTCGGAAGACCAACTATGAACGTGAGTCAAATGAGAAACAATTTTTAAAAGAAAAGACGCTCCCTACCCTACTCTGTAGAATGGGGAAAGCAAGCAAGGGGGGGAGGGAGCAGAAGAAAGGGGGAGGGAGCAGAAGAAAAATGTGCAATTGCCCAGAAGTACTTACCCAATCGAGCTAAGCAGTTAAGCGCATATTCAGAGACTTCAAAAAACTTCCCGAAAGTAAACAAATGGGAAAAAAGATGGCGGGGAAGAGGGACAGAGACAAAGAGAAACTTTTAAAAACGAAACTAGAGTCCCCAAAGCCGGAAACGACCAGTGAGACGGCAAAGGCTATAGCTGAGTTCATGCGCCCTCTACTGGAGCAGCTGAATAACTTCAAAGAACAGATGTCCGTGGTAACAACAAATATTACAGCCCAACAAACACAGCTGTCCGTGGTAACAACAAGCATTACTGTTCAACAAACGCAAATAACAGATCTGATTCAAGTAATGAAGCAGGATGCTGAGAAAGTAAAGGAAATGGCTGAATCAACGCAGAAAGTGAAGAAGAAAGTGCAAAAATTGGAAAAGAAAACTTCTTCTTTGGAAGATCAAATGCTTCAAGTGCAAATGGATAAGGCCAATATGGTCCTGTGCTTCCAGGGGGTGCCAGAGAACAGTGGAGAGAATCTTAAAGAACTTATGAGTGAGCTACTTGCCCCAGTAACAGAAATAAAGGCGGAATTGCTACTCAACGACATGGATGTGGACTATAGGTCATATTCAGGATATATAAAGAAAAACAATCTGCCTGGGGAAATAGTAGTAAGATTCTCGAAGAGGCACGTCAGGGATGCTATCCTGAAAGCAGTAGCTGCAACACCCCTGAAGGCAGGGGAGAATGCTATTAGAACGCTAAAGGATATTCCATTTGAAGTAAGGCAACGCAGAAATACAAAGAACTTGTGCTCTTTCTCCAAACAAATTCAATTGGATATAAATGGCTATTTTCAGAAGTCGTAACCTTAACACAGTGGGTTCAGAAAAGGAAGAGGCACAAGGAATCCTAGCACAAATTTACATTGGTTACCGGAGCATATGACAGAATTTCAGAAGAAAATCATCCTGATTTTCATAGATTACAACAAAGCTATGGCTGTCTTTAAAGGAAATGGGTGTGCCACAGCATCTGAACATAAGAACATAACCCTGCTGGATCAGACCAATGGTCCATCTAGTCCAGCATCCTGTCTCACACAGTGGCCAGCCAGTTCCTCTGGAGGGCCAACAACAGGGCAGAGAGCCCTAGGCCTTCATAAGAAGAGCTCTGCTGGATCAGACCAGTGGTCCATCTATTCAAGCATCTTGTTTCACAGTGGCCAACCAATTCATCTGGAAGACCAACAACAGGGCATAGAGGCCAAGACCTTCCCCTGATAAGAACATCAGAAGAGCCTGGCTGGATCAGACCAATAGTCCATCTAGTCCAGCCTCCTGTCTCACACAGTAGCCAATCAGTTCCTCTGGACGGCCAACAACAACTGAGCATAGAGGCGAGGCCTTCCCCTGATAAGAACATCAGAAGAGCCCGGCCGGATCAGGCCAACAACAGGGCATAGAGGCTGACTCTGGGATTCAGAGGTTTAGTGCTTCTGAATGTGGAGGTTCCCCTCAGTCACCATGGCTAGTAGCCATCAATAGACTTATCCACCAGGAATCTATCTAATCCCCTTTGAAAGCTGTTTATTCCTGTGGCCATCGCAACATCCTCTGGCAGCAAATTCCATATTTTAATAATTCTCTGTGTACAGTAGTATTTCCTTTTGTCTGTCCTGAACTTACTGCCCATCAGCTTCACTGGATGCCCTCAAGTTTTAGTATTTCCAGAGAGGGAGAAAAATTCCTCTTTGTCAGCTCTCTCCACCCCATGATTGTTTTGATGCACAACCTATACTCCGGACAAGAGGCCACTATTAGGACAGAATACGGAGAAGTAGAATGGATTCCAACAGGCAAAGATGTCAGGCAAGGACGCACTTTGTGTCTTCAATCTGTATGCAGAACAGATCATAAGGACAGCTGGATCAGATTTCGACGAAGGTGGAGTGAAAATTGGTGGAAAGAACTTTAACAATTTGAGATACGCAGACGACACCACATTAGTGGTAGAGAACAGCAAAGACTTGAAACGACGACTGATGAGGTTCGAGCAGAGAGTGTCAAAGCGGGATTACAGGTGAACATCAAGAAGACAAAAGTAATAAACCAGCAAAAACTAATGGCAAAGTACAGTGAGCTTACCAGTATATGGCTACCTATTTTATCCGACCTAGTTTCTCATGAGACAATACCAGATGTAATAGACACTCTTCACTTGTAACTGTTGAAATTGTGTTAATATTAAGTTAAAGGATAGAATGGTCCCTTTTAAATGATTAAGCTGAGGTATATTTAGACATGTTATGAATGTTCTAATGCAAGTGGTTATGTTGATACTTATCCTGTAAATTGTTGGTATAATTGAAAATTGAATAAAATATATTTTAAAAAAAGAAGACAAAAGTAATGATTACAGGGGCAATGACACACCTTTAAGGTTGACGATGAAGAAATTGAAATTGTTCAAGATTTTTTATTCCTTGGGTTCTGTCAGACCCCGGTCCAGTTACACTCCACAACTCTCGCTTTGGCAGTGATAAGTTTATTGGAGCACAGGCAAGATCCAGAAAGTAACTGTGTTAGAACTAAAGACTTTTGGCGGGTACAATCTTATTACAGAAAATTCAAGCAGGTCCCATCCATCCCCCAAGCACACGTCACACACACGCTCTGCCTAACATTGCCATGCCAACGAGGAGAGATATATGTCCTGGTAATCTAGAGTCTGAGATGGTACAGGAATGTGTTCAAGGCCACCTTCCCCTGGGAAAGCGAAGGAGGAGGGGAAGGAGGTTAGCCTGTGGAAAAGTTACACCTTCTAAAAGCAAAGGTCTCAATCATTCCTGCACTCACTCACTCCAACCCTACGGAACGCCCCCCCCCCCAGAATTATGGCAACCCAAGCAAGCGCAGCATAGCAGGGTCTGACATTCCGCCCCCCTCAAGCGACATCATCAACCAAAAGGGAGGCTGCACCTCAGGAGACTGAGACTGGGGGAGGCAGCCATGAAGGAGCCAGGAAAGATCCTTAAGTGCAGGGACATGATGCTGGC